AGTCCAGATGAGGATGATGATGTTGTTCATTGTTGTTGTTGTGTCTTGTGTGATGATGAAGATTGTGTTCTGTTCTGCTCTCAGTCATGAAGTGTTAAACTCACAGCACTATAAACACTCTCAGAGCACTGAAGCATGAAGCAATGCAAAGAAGTGGGCAGGATTTACAACAGCTTGAGCTGCAAACAAACTATTACACAGTACAGTATATGCACAATTCTGAGCTCTTACCCATGGTCATAAGCTTTATATATTTGACGACTTTGACCTAAATGTTAAAAACACTAGAAATATTTTGGATGAGCAGACGAGGAGGGTTGTAACACAACTTTCTCCATTTGCTTCAACAGAATCTACAAAGACTGAACAAAATGGCTGTACAGTTTATAAGCTGACATTTGACACAATTAAAGTAACTAACATGCGCACACACACACACACACACAAACTGTCCATCATGTCATTTAATTGTTGCCCATGTTTTATGTATTTGTACAACCATTTTTTTTTTACAATAGCATTTTACCAATTATGCTGTCATTTTCACTGTTTATTTATTTTTTATTAAAATTAATAATTTTTTTGTTTGTTTTAAATGTGTACATAGTTATTCATTTTTATTTCAATTTTAGTTATTTTAGAACATCAAGATAAACTAAATGAAAATTAGTAATGTTGCCTTGTCAACTAAAATAAAATAAGTTTAAGTTTTTTTTTCCTTTAATATTTTTATTCAGTTAATGTCTATTTTATTACAAGAAACGGAAATGTTTAAATATTTTCTTTTTGACTTCTTTGAAGCAGAAGCAGAAAGTTGCACTTGTGCAGTTCTGCTTTGTGTATGGGGGTAACCATGGTAACGGCTGTGTTTCTGCTGTTCCTAAAGCGCCACCTGCTGTCAGAGAGTGAACTTGCATTTTTATTCAGTCCGGCTGCTGCTTTTGTTCAGATCAATGAGAAAATCTGACCGAACCTTCACGCACCAAATGTGCAGCATTGTAAAACTTATCTGGTCGATGGGAAATAAGCTCTAAAAATCTAAACTATTCGGATAATAAGATATTTATTTAAGAATTATTCTCATATTTTGAAGTGCCCATGATAACAGTACCGTTCATGTTCATTAATCATTATTTAATTATATTTCAGCATAAGCATACATTGCTAGACAGGTAGCGAACATAATCTAGTTAACATTTATTATTAATGGAGCCTCATTATCAGTGGATTCAGTTCAGCATTCATGGATTTGTCTTGATGTCTTTCTCCATTGATTTGTCGATGGAAGTAAATCATCATAACCTGCACTCACTTCCCAGAGCTTCTGAAACCTCACACTCTGTTTTAAACTCTCCAGTGAAGGCATTTTTAGTGATTTCTCCCTGATTACATGAAAACTTTCTTAAATTCTTCTTAGACAAAGTTAACACTTTTCGAGCCCAGTTACGAAATCCTGTGCTGGAGCTCATCCTCTCCCTCACTCAGTGGAGTGAATTTGAGCTTCTTACAACTTCATTATGGATTTTCTACTCTTATTTTTTCTTTTGTTTACACTTCTAAAAATGTAACTCAATTTCAAACTGAAAATTTGTGACTGCAGCTCAGATCAAGTGAAAATTATATTGCTGACTGATTAGATTAGAAAACAACCAAATCAACAGTTTAAAGAATCTGATAAATGAACTATGTTTATGAGATTTTGATGACCTGTGTGATTTTTTTGCTGTCTGTGTGACAGAAAAACCTTCAAACATAAAGTGGTTACACATTTAAACAAGGCTTTGTCAAGTCGATATCAAAACGTGTCGCAATGAACTTTATCTATTTATACTGTCTAATTAGTGTTTGTTCTCTGTTCAGTGTTGTGTGTGATTGTGTTTATGAGCAGCTGCAGTATCTCTCAGCTGTATCAGTGCAGTCACATATAATAAGAATTGACAAAGAAAGAGATTGATGAAGAAGCAGTTCACGTGAAGCTGTCTGTTTACAACGTTCAGATGATTGTCATAAAGTGGTTAAGTCTATGTAGTTTGATGATTGACTCAAAGTAAAGAATACAGAAATTGAGACATTACTGAACTGTAAACATGTTCTATTAAACAAACGCAGCTGCTATTATAGAAAGATCACTGTAATGCATTTACACTGTGACTAGATGAACAGAGATCACCTCTCAAAGATGCAATAACATCTCTGTGCAGTAATTTTTCACTGGTTATTGAGATGCACTGAGACGTCAACACACATCATACAAACTTCAGCAATAGTGACAATCAACAAACATTCAGATAAACAGATCAACTCTGAACCTCACAAAACAAGCTATTGAAAACTCACAACAACAATGACAATAATAATAATAATAATAATAATAAATTATAAATAATGAATAAATTATCATTTAGCTGCATAATTTATTCATGCCACAATGCATGCAGGGAAACATGGATGATTTGTGTGCTATGGTTGCACCCATTATGCACTGTGACATGAAGCTTTTTATTGATTGAAAGGGTCAGAGCTTTAGTTTATATTTCATAGATAAACATTAACCATGTCAACATCTGCAGAAACAGGACGGTAGTCAAATTATGAACATGTGGTGACCTAACGAACAAACCATTTTATTAATAGATTTTCAAGTGCAAACTTTCATGTGAGTGAGTGAGTGAGTGAGTGAGTAAAATAAATAAATAAATATTGTATTAAAGTCTCTCTAAACTTTGCCTTATATAATCTTTGTGTTGCATCACATCCTCTCATCAGCAGCTGCAGTATCTCTCAGCTGTATCAGTGCAGTCACTGTGACTCTGACTGACGGAGGTTTTTGTACGACTCTTTATCACTGTGTGAACACATATTTACTGTTGATCTCGTGGTAACTCTGACAGTAATAATCTCCTGTATCTTCAGTCTGGACTCCACTGATGGTCAGAGTGAAATCACTGTTAGATCCACTGCCACTGAATCTAGATGCACCATACACTGAACTGCTGGTTTTACAGTTTATTCTGACTTCTTGTCCTGGTTGAGCTGCTGTTATTGATGGACTCTGAGTTACAGTGATCTGTCCTCTACACTCTGAAAGAGAGAACAAAAATTAAAATAAAATTAAGAAACAAAAAATAAAATAAAATTAAGAAACAACTGTAAATGATTAATATTTTACACTTCAGAGAATGAATATAATCATTGTTAAAAATTTACTACACAAACCTTGAGCAAACAGTGTGAGAGTCCAAATGAAGATGATGATGTTGTTCATTGTTGTTGTTGTGTCTTGTGTGATGATGAAGATTGTGTTCTGTTCTGCTCTCAGTCATGAAGTGTTAAACTCACAGCACTATAAACACTCTCAGAGCACTGAAGCATGTGCTGACAATGCAAAGAAGTGGGCAGGATTCACAACAGCTTGAGCTGCTACAAGATATACAAGACTAGAGTTACAGAATATATTATTCTATAAATTCTATTAGATGAATCAACACCACTATAAGAAGAGTGAATTGTGAGTTTGTTCATAATGTATCAGGACTGACTGTAAATCTCTAATCAGAGTTCATGGTGTCTCTCTGTCTATCATGAATCCTCGTGTGGGCCTGCAATTGTAAAATGGACAGAAAACATTCTGTTAAAAATGGAGACAGATTAAAACTTGTTCATTTTAAGTTTTAGCTGGAGATTCACAACTTTTTTTTTAAATATAAAAACGTAACATTAACAAATGTGTCTTGATTCTTTTGTCTGAAGCAGCGGGTTTGTCTGTGAATCATGATGATTGAGCTGCATATGAACAACAGAAGCATATTTATGAGAAACTCCACAACATCATCCATGATAAAAGAGGTCAAAGGTCACCTCAGAGGTCTCAGCTCATCAAATATATTTCTTTAAAAAAAATGTTATGCAAGCAGATGACAGGAAAATGTCTGAGAAATATAAGATATGAATTCAAACTGAATCATGTCTATTGTAAATAGCATTAATACATTCTTCCACAGATTATGAAAAGAATGTCATTGTTTATCAAGCAATAACAAATATGTTGAAAATATTTTTCTTTGTTCTTACTTTTTGAAAAGTGCTGCCAGCAGCTGAGGTGTTTCTGCTCTCAGTGTGTTGAAGTGCTGTTTCTCTCTCTCTGCTGGAGTTTGTGTTCACTCGAGTGGAATAGAGGTTTTTGTACGAGCCTTTCATTAGATTGTATCACTGTGGTACACTTTCGGTGGAGGAACTAAACTGGTGCTCGGTAAGTCTGTCTCTTTTAACTGTCTTGTACAAACTTATTGAAATGTGTAGATTTTAATGTTTACATTATTTTATTGTCACTTAAGAGCTTCAAAATAACTTAATTATATAGACTCAGCAAACAATTATTGTCCAAACACATTTCCATAATGTCTCACTTTGAGTTTTATCAGTTTATCACAGATTTATTTTCATTCAGTTTTACACTGATCTTATAAAGTTCATTTTTTATTGTAGATATTACACATGAAAAAAGAGAGATTTGTCATCAAAAAGCAAATATAGTTTTTGTTGTTCAATGATGTTGAATCTCTTTTGCGCATATTGTGCTTAAAATATTAAAAATATACGAATGTTTAGAATTGTTGATTCAATTGTTTTTGAATTCTTGTTAAATCATTTGCATTTGAAATTATACTGGAATTATAGCAGTGTCTTTGTACATTTAGTTTCATTTTATGAGGTTTAATTTATATAGTATAATAGGTATATAGTGTTTGTGTAGTTTGTATATTGTATGTTACATCAGCTGTTTTGATGTTGAATAGCGTGAATGTTGAGATTGTTGTGATTTTTACTGCATTCCACACGTCTGCTGCTGAAAGTCATGTTGAAATGATGTGAGTGATGCAGGGCAGAAGAGTGCTGGAGCTGCAGTGTGTTTTCTTTGTGTTTGTGAATGTGTTGTGTTTGTCTCCTGCAGCTGGTCCCACAGTGAAGCCCTCAGTGTCTCTGCTGCCGCCCTCTTCTCTGCAGATCTCTGGAGACTCAGCCGCACTGCTCTGCCTGCTCAGCTCTTACTCTCCACAGGGGGCGCTGGTGAGCTGGACACTGGACGGCTCAGAGGTCACCGAGGGGGTTGTGACCAGCGCAGAGAGCGAGCAGGACGGCCGCTACAGCCGCAGTAGCGTCCTGACCCTCAGCAAAGCACGCTGGGAAGAGGGAGAGCTGTACGTCTGCAGAGTAACACATGATGGAGCTCCTCATGAGGCCTCGTTCCACAAGAGTCGCTGTTAGTCGCTCGCAGTGCTGATGTTTCTCCAGTGAGCGCTGCTCTCTCCTGAAGATGAGCGTATCTGAGTGTCCTGTGTCAGGCAGGATTCACATGAGTCTAGTGCTGCAGCTGTAGTCATTTACAACTCAATACTGAAAGAGAGCTCTAGTGTCAAAGCACTGGCTGATCTTTCAATCTGCTGTGTTTGCTGCAACATTCAATAAAGCTTCTCAACAAACTCCATTTGTGTCTGACAACATCATTCAACTAACAGATGAAGATGCATGTAGTGTTTATTCAGGTGCTTTTCAGAAGCTCGATCAGTAGCAGTAAATCTAGTCAAATAAAGCTCTTGGGGTTTGAACATGGTCTCTGGAGACAGAGCTGCTCTATTCTGAGAGGATCAGAATCACTCCACCCTGACAATGTAAATGGGATTTTCAGCCCACACTCCCAGAGTCACTGTTTGATTGGTTACATGATCTGGACTGAAACAGAGCAGTTTCACTTCTGCTGTAGTCAAGCAGCACACAGACAAACTCATTATTACATTTAGTATTAATACATTCTTCCACTGATTATGAAAAAAATGCCATTGTTTATCAAGCAATAACAAATATGTTGAAAATATTTTGTCTTTGTTCTTACTTTTTGAAAAGTGCTGCCAGCAGCTGAGGTGTTTCTGCTCTCAGTGTGTTGAAGTGCTGTTTCTCTCTCTCTGCTGGAGTTTGTGTTCACTCGAGTGGAATAGAGGTTTTTGTACGAGCCTTTCATTAGATTGTATCACTGTGGTACACTTTCGGTGGAGGAACTAAACTGGTGCTCGGTAAGTCTGTCTCTTTTAACTGTCTTGTACAAACTTATTGAAATGTGTAGATTTTAATGTTTACATTATTTTATTGTCACTTAAGAGCTTCAAAATAACTTAATTATATAGACTCAGCAAACAATTATTGTCTAGACAATTAGTGTTTGTATTCATATTTTTTTCCACACATTATATACGTGTATACATTGTTTGTTTTTTGTGATAAAGTACAGCTTGATTCAATGCTTAACAGTTTCATTTCATCTCTTATCTAATATGCGCTATATTAAAAACATGAATTTAATTAATTCTTTATTGAAAATGTCTAATAAAAATAAATAATATGAATGAAAACTGAATGAAACTTGAAAACAATTTTTAAATGTATTTTTTCGAAGATAAGAACACAAATAATGTAACTAATTCTCACAAAATAGCTTTTTTTTTATTTAATTTAATTTTTATTTTTTATTTTTTTGCAACACGTTACAAGTTTGGCAAGATTGTAGGCTACCCAAAACTTTACCTTGATTCTTTCAACAGCTACAATTAATTTAATTATGTTTGAAATCTTGTATTTACTTCAGAATTTGTTTCCTAAAATACTTGTTGTGAGCAGAGAAATAAAAGCCAAACATTGTTTATATTTTGAGTTGACATTCGTCTGATTGTCAGGCTTCATCTCTCCTACAGTGAGCATGAAGAGATTTCCAGAAAGATCAGCAGCACTGATGTGAGAGACAAACACAAGCTTCCCTTCAGACTGGAGCCGGAGCTGAAGGTGTTGGGGAACATCAGGTCTCAGGACAGAAGGACGGTCTGAACAGCTGCAGCAGCCTGACTCTCTCATGAGGCTCTCAGTGAGCTGTGAGGAGAAGTGAGGAGAGATCAGTGTTCAGAGCAGATCCACTCACTCTCTCCTCTGGCTTCTCACTTATGTCTCACATGGAGACCAACATTCTCCACACTGAGCTTTACTCTCTCTCATCTGTCATCTGATCTGCTTTTCACAACAACATCAGACACGACTGCATGTCTGCTTTTATTCAGCACTGATATGCTTTAAAATCAGTAATCAAAAAATATATTTGTCTTCATGTATTTGATATCTACAGTCTGTCTTGATTGTTCTTCAGTCGTGTTTTGAGTTTTACTGTATCATGAAGCTGCTGTGAGGACGCT